GGAAAAGAATAATAAATGAAAGTTAAAAAAAAAATAAACTGAAGAAATGGAATCCATAATCAACATATAATACAACATTCTGCTAAGGTTAAACTCTCACACACACTACCTCCCAGAAAACATCTATTGTTCCTTAGAGGAAAAGTCCCATTTTTAAAAGCTTTCTGGAAAATTAGAAAGGGTATTTTTTTTGGGGGGGGGGGGTGGAGGGTGGAGAAGAAGAGAATAAGATTGTTGTAAAGAGCAGGTGCTTATATAGTCTGAGATAGATGACAGGTTTAAAATTTGTATTACAACATTCTCTTACATACTGTATTTAAGCTACTATTTTAATATGACTCAATGCAAAACCATGCAAAATAATTTCTATAACACAAAATTCAAAGCCTATAAATTTTAATGGAGAATTGTCTTCAGCATTTACCCACCTTCCTTAGTGTGTAAATAATGAATATCTACAGGCTGTTTTAATTTTTATAAATGAATTTATGAATACTAAAACCAGTATCTAGAATTCTGAAAATTGCCTGTTCTACAACAAAGAAGTTGTGAGAATGGGTTAAAGTTTTTACTAATTGGATAAACTGTTTCTTTTTCAATTGTTCAGATGGATAAAAGTATCTTATCCAACAACTGTGTTGTGAATAAAGTGTCAGTGTGTTATATAACTACACGTAGCACGTATTCCTAAAACATTACTTCAGTTAAACTAACAATATTTTTTTTAAAACATTAGTCTTAGTATAGGAGCATAAGTGTCATCAAAAAATTATTTAGGTAAGCATCATGAATCTAATATAAGATGCAAAATTATTTGTACCATTCTTTGATTTGTTTGTAAACATTTAATTCACTGCACAATTAACACCTCTCCTTTAGTTTCAAAGTCCCACATTAACCACTTGTTCCTACAATTTGGAAACCATAAATTCTTCCATTCTGCTCCGCTAACTGCAAAATATATATTTATTATTATCTGTTTTCTATACAGGATGATAAAAACAATTAAAAGGCCAAATAAAAAAACACATATCCAGATAAATATTAAAAAGAAACTAAAGTAGCAACATATAAATTTTAAAACAACGATAAATTAAGATGTGCTTGCACAATATTCTAAGATGAAATGGCTAATCTTACATTTTGAAACTCAAAACAAAACAACCCACGTCCTCCAAATTCAGGACAAGACATGATGCTATTCGTCATGTTCTGATGTTTTCTGCCCCACAATTGGCCTTTCTCCTCTCCAAATGATAGATGCTTGTGAAGCACAAGCTACTAATGGAAACTCAGGTCCTATTATTGCAGAACTGCCTGGAACAGGTTGAAAAGAAACACAAATATGTAACAGTAGCTACCTTTTACTGTTTCCTTGGAGAAACTAAGCAAAGAACCTTGAAGACCAGGGTAAAATAGTTACAGATGAACACCAATTGATTGATTATATCAAGCAGATTCGTAACTTTTTTCAATAATTCCAAAGCACAACTCTTTCATGGAAAGAGGTACAAATTAATTTCTGCTCCACCTATAAAGATGGTTGCTCTGTTTTTTACAATGATACACTCCAATAGGAAATTTAGTCTTCGTGGATTGTAATGTAATCTTTCTTGTGTTCTGTATTTTGTATTCATGCATGCTTCCAAATACAAAACTATGCTTTGGCAATTTGTTGAAAGCTGCTTTTTGCAGGCAAATTGACAAGTGTAATGAACATATGCAGAAGTCAATCCTCAAGTCAATAGCTAAAAAAGTATATTATTCCTATTAAATCATTTGTGGACTGTTTGCAAAATTTAATCCATTGCTGGCATCAGTTTTATGCCTGTTTGTGCTTCTATATAAAAGCATTCCTATTTTTGCTTTCATTGTATGTTAGGAGATTTTTTAAAAAGTGATTATTTTTTAAAAAAATTATTCTCTTGGCTGACTTTGTATAAATTGATCAGTAAATAAAACTCTAAATGGGATACCACCCAATTAACATCTATAAAGCTAGGATGAGAACTAAAACAGGAAGAGAAGAATCTTGCTTTGTGTTCCTATTGGTCTCTAGGTCAAAACTCTCCAAATATTTCAGGTTTTGCACCGCTGGCAAATAGAACATCCAAAATATTTCAAAGTCCATATTTTAAGCATTAAAAGCATGGGAACAAAACTTTCAGGATGGAATTCAGAAAAAAAGTATGTTTCTGTTCCCCTTTTTAACATGTATCTTTAAGGTTGCTTCATGATATAAAGATAATTAGTGTTAAGTAGAAATCAAAGTGACCTTCCTATGGAAATTTCCAAACTACAGCCACAAAAAAACCTTTCTTCCAAGACTGTCGATGTATTTCAAATACAGTGTTGCAAGAAATCCTCTTTTCTATAAAATCCATGGAAATTAATTGGTAGAAAAGTAGAATAGCGTTCAGTCTATTAATGACTGCCACTAACATGGCTTTTGATTAAAAATTTCTGAAAGATGGTTCAGTACAAAACTTACTGAACTAAGGTAGCCAAGCTAGTCTAGCTTTATGTTTTACAGCAGCCATACCAGATAATTCTAGAGGCTGGACAGACTATAAATAATTTATTACAATAAAATTCCAAGGCAGTATTTTGTTATAACTTATATATGGATCCAGTTTATAGCATTTCACCGCAGTTATTCCTTTCTTATTTTGATCACCACTTTAAAAGAAGAACTTGGAATCTTTTTCTTCCCAAAACAGCTGCCCCATAAAGCTTTATCGCTATAGCAACTAACCTAATTGGTTTCCTACAGGTATCTCCTTCAACCATCCATCGGGTGGAGCTACTATCCCTAAGTATAAACCAAAGAGTTAAGGAAAGAAAATAATCCTTTCCTCATCTTTCATGTTACAAGAAACAAAGAAAATAAACAATGCGTTTTCTGATAATTAAAAAGCAAAAACACCCTATAGGAGAGCCCTTTTTGTATGCTAAATTTGTTAATCAAAACAAAATATTTCCCTCTATAAGAATATATATTTAATAGGGAAAGAAGGGAAAGGAAGAAAAACATTATTTCAAGTCATGTTGAAATTTACTTCAAACTTTAAAATATTCACTGATCCATTATATTCAGTTATATTTTAAACCTGTCTTTGCTGTCATTTTAGCTGTGTTTGGAATACAGCTGTCATATCCATAACACCTAAGTGCATTTTTTAAAAAATGAACACAGGTATAGGCATGGAAGTGTTCATTATCTTTCCATTTGAATTATAAAAAATGCAGAGATGTTAATCAATGATTGATTTTAATTTTGTAATAAAACATGTTTGAAGTATCCTGTTAAAGGTAATAGGATTCTATAGAAATTATATTGACATATATTTTGTCAATATTTCATTCCTAATATTTTTCTGAATTTAAAAGCCATTTAATATAAAGGTCTTTAAGCAGTATGGCAGTCAGATTACATGTGAATTATATCATCATATTCGAAGTTGCACATTCAGTTATTAAGATACTGAAATAATGGAAGTAGTGAACTGTCTCAACACTGAATATTTTAGGCTAGGGAATGCTCTGCTCATAGTTGTGCAGAATATATATTCATCGTGCTTAGCAAAGATTAACCTGGGATCTGCAAGAAAAGTGTTCAGTTGTAATTTAAAAACTCATTATTTAGAAATTATGAGATTGCATTTTGGGCTAATAAGAGAGATAGGCAAGTGGACAAAAATCTATGAAAATAAGAATTATAATACTGAAGGTTTTGAAAAAAACACAACAGCGCTGTCCTTCCTAAATACAAATGTTAAAAGTATCAATACCCTAATATATTTTAAAGTTATTGAAAAGTATTTGTCAAATGGTGACATCTTATCATTACATTACACATAGTGCACTCACATGCAAGATTTATATATGACGCAATTTAACACAGTATTTTAACATATATTTTATTAAATACAAGAGCATGAACACTAAAATGTTATCTTACCCAAAGTAGTGCATGTGATCTTTCATGCAGAATTTGATAATTGTAAATTTTTATATTATAGAAATATACACTAAACTTTAAAAGTACAATGAAACCCAAACTCAGTATTAAGAATCCTGTCCTTACCTTAAAGAGAAAATTCCACTGATGCAGCATTGCTCAGAAAGTTTCGTAACCATCACAAATAGAGAACGCTTAATAAACTGCTATTAGTTTTAAAGAGATTTAGAATTCACTAACCATCCAACTTCAGTTACAGTAAAGAAATTGCGTTTCAAATCTATTTTGCTTCAATAAAAGTCAACATGAGATCTTTTTCCCCCATTGACAAATGTGTATTACAGCTGTCAATAATAAATTCTGTCAAATTCATGCTTGCTAAGAAGCATATTTCATTATATTAAATCACATTTGGATTATACTTTAAAAGAACATGTTTCCACACTCTGATAATAGCCAAAACCTTCTAAACAAAATTTATTTATAATAAATAAATAATTTTACAGTCTTTTGAACTCCATCCTCTGATACTTAATTCTTCTGACTCTATCCCAGAAAAAAATGGTTATAAGCTATAACAAAACATATGATAAATTTAACTAAGGATGCTTTGTGATACCATAACATTTGCAATAGGATCAAGTTCTATCACTAAGGAATATCATCATAAGCATGTTTTTTCAAGAATCCTAAATGTATGAGAAGAGGAGACTTGGACATGGAGAAGAATAAAGACAGATATATGCACCAGTAAGAGAATATGTAAGTTGTAATAAATATAGAACATCTGGATTGCACTGGTGTTGGCATATTTTGTTAGGTTTTCAACAGCGGTAGGAAATACAAAATATTTCCAAAACATTTGCAAGCAAGCACTGTTTTGAACCAAGTTTAATACAAAACATTGCTTTTATCCTAGTTGAACTCTTTGGAAACAGCCTGGCCTATAAAAATTAACCTGGTCCATTTAAGTCAAGCAAGCAAGCAAGCCAAATGCAAAGCAATACACGGATTTGTCATCTGCTGAATCTATACTTACTGCAATAAGCAATTAAAAGGCCAACCAAGATCATGATTGCCCAGAAAGTTGAGGATGCGCTCGGCAGGACGTTGGCATCTTTCCTACTGCTTCGCTTAAGAGATGGAGCCATTGAAGCCATAAGTCCCCCAAAGCCAAAAAAAAAAGAGGGGGAGGGGGACTCAAGATAAGTTTCACAAGCCAGGTCTCCCTCGCCCTTCGACACACTTAATCCCAAATAGAAGCATTTTAGAGAAGGACCACAGGATTTGGCTGTCAGCAATCATCCTGGGGTGTCCAGCGGGGTCTCTTCAGCCCAGCCAAGCCAGAAGACATTTTGTTTCAGCGGGCGACGACCTCTTTACAGCCCGGTTTCTCCTCCTTCTCCTCCTCCTCCTCCCCTTCGAGGATGGAGATTCATCGGCGACGACCTCCAACTTTCCCTTCTAAGAGCGGCGAAGCAAGGCTGCCTTCCACGACTTCAAGCAGCCCGTCGGTGCCAAGTGGCGTTTGGTTCTTCGCTTTCCTCGGGGAAAGATCCCAGACGGGGCGCGGCGGCAGAAGCCAGGCGGAGAGGCGGCTGGTGCCTAGTGGCGAACCCACCCGCGAGTCCCGAGCGAAGGGGGCGCCGCGCGTGCGCATCCACGCGCGTCCCACCAAGCGGCTGACCCGGCCGAAGGAAAGAAAGAAGGAAGGGAAGGTCGCTACCCGGAGGCGCAGAAGGCTGGCCTGGAGGGAGGACTCCGGGAGGGCACGGCAGGCAGGGGCATGCCTCTGAGGGCGCGAGGGGAAGGCGAGGAAGAGCCCGAACCGCGGCGACCAGCTGCCGGGGGTCCCCGGAAAGGTTGCGCCGCTCGACCGCCTTCCTTCCCCACGGACGGCAAACTTCTCGTGCCGCTCCCCTCAGCACTTGTAGCTCCGTCCAGAGGGAGCCTCGCCGGCGCGGCAGAGGGAGCCCCCTTTTGAGGGCAGGGGTTAGCCAAGCCCGCCCACTGGTGCCGCCTCGCTTTCCGCAGCCTCCGACGACGCCTCGGTTTCCCCTCGGGGCGAGCAAGGCAAAGACACCCAGCTTGGCCAGCTTAGCCGGACGGGCGGGCGGGCTTGGCTGGCTGGCCGACCGCCGCCGACTCTGCTGCTGCTAGTCCTCCAGCCGGCTCGATTCCTCGGGCTCCGTAGCGATCCGCAGCAGAAACCCCCGCGCTTTCCCCGTCCGCAGAGCGGCGGCTCCTTTTTTCTTTTTTTTTTTTTTGGCTTTCTGTCCGGCAGTCCCGTCGGCGCGGAGCGCACTCAACTCCCCACCCCTTTTGCCGAGGGCGCGTTCGTTGGGGGCTCCAGCTGACGGACCCACCTACCCCCCCCACCTTCTCCACCCTTAACGCCGCCCCCGGCCCGCCTCGCGCGCGCTCCTTCACCGAGGCTGGCACGCGGAGGCCAGGCGGGTGCGCGCGCGCGCGCGCTTCCCACAGCCCGCGAGCGGCTTCGTGGAGCTTGGCACAAGCGGCTGTTGGCCGGCTCTTCGTGCCGCCCCCCTCCACTCCTCTGCTGCGGTCTTTAGTGGCGGTAGTGGGGTGGAGTGAACAGCTCGACACACACACACACACCTCCCAAAAAATCCGGCAAAAGTGAAGAGAAAGAGGCGCTCCTCCTCACAGAGAAGCCGGTGCTGCACCAACTTCTCCTCCCTTGAAGGCAAAACTCCACAGCGTGACATAAATCCAACGATAGTCAATGGGGAAAAAAAAAGACGTTTACCGACAATGTTCTGCTAAAGAGCCGCCACTTTTTCCCCCAAAGGACACGCGCGAAGGGCGCCCTGTTTTTTTTTTGTTTGTTTGTTTTGTTTTTTGTTTTTTTTACAAAAAGCTTGTTCGCCCGCTTTGCTTTTGAGGGAGAAATCGCTCCCCGCGTTGGTCGCGGAGGCGACATCTTGAAGAGGCGATTTACGAATCAAGAGTTGCGTTGCTAAAACTCTCTTCCCTTCTCCTTACCTTGGACTTTTTAAGAATCTTTTTCCCGCCCATTTGCAGTGAACAAATGCGGCCGTCGTATCTCCTCACCTGAGCCGTTTTTTCCAGGATGTGGGGGCTTGGGGCAGCAGATTGGAGGCACCCGCCGTTATTGGTGCATTTCCTGGGCATCGTAGCCAGAAAAGAGCGACTGTAGCAGGGGTCGTTCACTTATATCTGCCCTCCATGGTTCAGAGAGAAGAATTACTGTTAAACTGCTACTTTAACAGTAACAGAGTTGGAAGGGACCTTGGAGGTCATCTAGTCCAACCCCCTGCTCACACAGGAGACCTGTACTAGGGATTTGAACTGCTGAACTGCCGATCTTTCTGATCGACAAGCTCAGTGTCTTAGCCACTGAGCCACCTAGTCAGGCAGCTTTGCTTCATCACTTATCACCTATCTTCCCACTGGGCTGGCAGTGGGGATCTGACCAGCCACCCCAGTTCTTCCCCCTTCAATCTTTCCCATTCACAAAAGATTTGAGTAAGAAAGACTTCTGATATTTTTTTTCCTTTGCACTCCTGAGGGCTCCATTCAGCCCATTTCCAAAGAAACTCAACGAAATTGAGTATGTCCTGACATTCCCTTCATCAACAAGCTTCAATTACTCAGTCTTTGCTACTGAGAGAAAGAAGGAGCAGTCCTTGCTTCCTTTTGCTTGGATGCTTTGAAGTGGAGAAGTTTGCTGCACTGTGTTGACTCCAAAACCATAAGCAGTCAAAAGAAGAAAACCATATCTCACCTTCCACAATTAATTCAATATACTGCAGGGGGTTCACGAGGGCAGAAGTAACTACTCATAATTTCTTAGTAGTACCATTTATTCGCTCTTCTCTATTATGGTATCCATAAGAATTAAAGATATTGAGGGGCTGTCACAGAGAGGAGGGAGGGTCAACCTATTTTCCACCTGAAGGCCAGAGAAGGAATAATGGATAGAAATTGATCAAGGAGAGATTCAACCTAGAAATAAGAAATTTTTTGACAGTGAGAACGATCAACCCATGGAACTCAAGCAATGCCCTCAGAAGTTGTGGGAGCTTCATCACTGGAAGTTTTCAAGAAGAGACTGGACTGCCACCTATCAGAAATGGTGTAGGGTCTCCTGCTTGGGCGGGGTGGGGTTGCACTAGATGACCTACAAGGTCCCTTCCAACTCTGTTAATTCTGTAATATTAAGCAATGTAGTACTTTTGTAGCTTGCATTCCCATATACACATTTAAGGAGCAGATAAGGCATTATCTAAAAAAAAGAAAGATTGTCAACCTAAATCATTATTAGGGAACAGCTAAGATTAAGAATACAATTCTTTGCAAATTTGCTGGGCTCAAACTCATCTCAGTGAACATAGTCAAGCTGACTTCTAACACCCATGCATAGGGGTGCACTCTGCATCATCTGTAGAGGAAATGTTAATCTTGGGAATTAAGGGTTCATATCTGTATTTCAAGGGACATGGTAGCTCAGTGGCTAAGACGCTGATCTTGTCAATTGAAAGGTCAGCAGTTCAGCGGTTTGAATCCCTAGTGGCGCGTAATGAGTGAGCTCCTGTTACTTGTCCGAGCTTTTGCCAACCTAGCAGTTCCAAAGCATGTAAAAAATGCAAGTAGAAAAATAGGGACCACCTTTGGTGGGAAGATAACAGTGTTCCGTGCACCTTTGGTGTTTAGTCATGCCAGCCACATGACCACCGAGATGTCTTCGGACCGCGCTGGCTCTTCGGCTTTGAAATGGAGATGAGCACCGCCTCCTAGAGTTGGGAACAACTAGCACATATGTGCGAGGGGAACCTTTACCTTTATCTGTATTTCAGTCATAACCCATTGTGTTCAGTGATAGGCAGATCATGACCTTAATGTGCCTGCCTTTTATTAAGGACATTAGCTGTTCCACATTTTCTAAATCTGAAAAGTTGCTCTATGTCTGCACTATTGATTTAATAAGATTACTTCTAGTCATGGTCTAATAAATGTGTAAAAGGGCAATGGATTTTGTTCCAAGTTTGACTTTCCATTCTTGTTGATAAACAATTTTTTAAATATATTTTATAGGTCAGATGAAATAATCTAACAGAGAAGGGAGAAGGAGCAACAATTCCATGTTCTGTTACTTGGAAAAGAAAATCTGCAACAAGAAAGTATTAACATAATATCATGGCAGTTTTAATCCAGTCAAATTCATCTCTAAACCTATATTCTTAGAAATAAATTCCACAAAGCTCATAAATCTTAATTTAACTCAAGTATGTACCCTAATGCTAGGGTTATTTTGGCCACTTAGAATTGTCCCTCTTTTATTCATATGCTTTGGTGCCACAGTCATTAGAATGAATATTTTGTATATAGTAATACGTGGAATATTTGAAGTTAAAAAAATCGTATTTGGGCATTAAAAACTTGTCAATCATATCAGCAGTATATTACTACCGTTGCAATCATTCTAAACATATTCTGAACTCTCGTCTTACTGTGGCCCCACTCCATAGATGAATATTAGTTTTACATTTTCATCAGTTAACATAGATATGCAAATTATGTGGATAATCCAAGATTTGGATAATAAAGCAGTTGAATTGCTTGTGTATTTGTTTTCACTAATATCCACAGAAGTAACCTCCATGAACTTTGATTAATTAGAAACTTGGCATAATCAATGTTTGCTTATTATATTTTAACAGTTTAAAAAGATTTCCTTTCACAAAAGACACAGAAAGAACATGCCAAACAAAGTCAGTTTAAAACATTACAAAATGTAATTCCATTGAGCTAAAATAAAACAAAATTCAACAACATTGGTAAAAATAGCAATGTATAGAAAAAACAATAATTACAGTAAACTACAAAGCTTGGTATACTCAGAAGTATTCAAGCACATACAATTAATGTTAAGCTCCGTTCAATCCTATTGCAGCGGTTAGATATGGGAATTGACTTTTAACCTTACTGGTCATGATTTAATCCTATATAGTACAGGAAATAGGAAGCACCTGAAAAAAAAATCAGCTTAATTTA